AAACATTGATGGCAGCCAAATTATTTCCACATAATTTCTTGGCAAAGTGATGACCAGGGAGGTGAGGATACTAACTCCGTGGCCTGAACTGACTCCAGGCTGGATAATTACATTTAATTAATTGCTGATAATCTGATGTTTCAGATATTTGCAGTGATCATTTCTCATCATAAGCAGTCATATGCAGTTGCAGAACCTTATGAGACATTTTTGTTTCCCTCTGGAAAGAAATTACACTGATTGGCATATCTGCTCCTCCTAAAATCATTGGGAAATTTGCCAATTACTTCAGTGGGTGCAATATGGAACCCATGAGTTATTATTGCACTTACTAATAATGTACCATAATATCATACAATTACATTACATTTGCATACATTAAAAACGATAACATTTCTGCCTCTGAAGACCAGATAATCTACCTCATAGTTTGTATAGCCAGCTAATAAGTTAAGCGCTTAGGGACTGTGTGAATGGAGTGTGTCTATGCTTGATTGTGTTTCTGGGATAGAGCGTATAATAAAATAGTATGTATATAAGCCACAATTCCCTCCTCACTCTTTCTTTTGCTCCAGGAGGGGTAGTAATTTTATTTCCATGTATACCCTCAGCCAGTGCCTCTCCTCCGTGCTCATTTAGCTGCATGCATTAGCAATAGGCAGATTGAGCACGGCTCCCTTCACCCTCTGCCTCGTTCCCCCCATTAATCTCTCATTAACGTGCAAATACAGAAATAAGCAAAGTTCTGGTTCCTTCCTACTCCTTTTCAGAGCCCAACTTGTATTAGCCCCAGAGATACATTTATTTTATTGAAATGAATAATTGCGTATGTTGTGCTGCTAAATATGCAAAATTTTCACACATGGAGAAATCCTCCCTATTTAATTCATGGGATGTCATCACAGATTGATTATGCCAAGGCTCTGAGCCTTATTTTATAAGCTATCCTCTGCCCTCACTTGGACAGAAAACTGTTAGGGGTAGGAAGATCTTTTAGACCAGTTTATTTAGTCTCCTAAAGGCCTACAGGGTTTTGGACCTCTCTTGAGGGAAATTCCACGAACGTAATGTCTTTTTCTGCTGCCAGGTTTAAGTAAATGTTTTAAAACAGTCTGATCGGTGTGTATAAATAGCCCTGGCCTTGAGCAACCTCTCTGACATCTTTTGTAACCCAGCTGATCCAGATCTGAATACTCAGGACCAGGAGAAAACGGCAACTATTTTGGGGTTTGTTTTTTTTTTTCCTGAGATTTTTTTTTTTCACTTTCTCATATTCGATTTTTTAAAACTTCTTACATTGCTGCTCTTTTGGGAATTCTGCAGTTATTCAGAAAAGAAACGCTTATGCAGAAAGAGCCCAGCAACCCAGAAATGTGTTTTTAAGGATTTGTGTTTTTTTTTAGTGCACAACTTTAAGATACAATTACCATTTATTTTGGAGAATTGCTTTAAATTACTTTGATTTTCTGCATTTTTGTTTTAAAGCTCCCTTCTTCACAATCTTCTTGTTGCCAGAAATAAGGTGTTGATAATTAGACCAAATATCTTCACATATCTGTGCTCATACCCAAGATCCAGATGGGCTGCAAGTGGCTACAGAAACAGTTCTCAGTTTGTTGAATGCAAATCAAGTCTGGACAGTGCAAGCAAATGCTTTTCCTGTCAAATTCAAGCTATTTGTCACACTGAGAGTAGGAGTTAGAAGTCCTATACTGATGCTCTTTGTGGATTTATATGCATTATAAGGGACCTGTTAAGCACTCTAGCTGCCCACATTTCTGTTGTCTCCCTTCAACGGTGTTTATTATTGCATTGCTTCGGAGCAGGAAGAACCTGCCTTCTTGCAGATAGTGGCACCATCTAAGCAATTATATTAACCCTAGAGTTTTCCAGCCTTGTAAGAAAACAGTGTCAAGCACACTGCATAATTTCACCTGCTGCGTAGCTTAGCCACATGAAGAACTAGACTGGGAAACTCAATATATTTCTAGTAAAGAAGGCAAAGTAGAGGAGATATTCTTTGTGAAAGAGTGTCATTTTGTTACTTATCACCGTGGCAAAGTAGAGTGAAAGGGGTAAAATGAAGATGACTGTTTGAAGTCATTATCCCAGGGCTGTCCTACGCTAGCTCCACACGCATGGTATATAAGCGATACACTCCTGAATGAAAGCAGACAGCCTCTACCAGCTCCTCTCTGAAATCTGATGTACAGCAATATGTCAGCTGGTAACGAGGCAGTTGCTTCCTGAGGTATCGCTGCAAATTCCTTTTTTCGTAACCCAGCCTAGAAAGAGATTTTCTATTAGGGTTTACACTGAAGTGTGTTAGCAGAAGGAAGAGGATTGTGATTTAATGCAACAAGGGAAGTGTATCCCCCTGCGTGTGCCCTGCAGTCTGCGGTTGGCAAGATTTTCCTCCTAAATCATCATTGCTGTTTGTGCGATGTGGTACCCATGGGCAATGCTGGGAAGGAGTGGTCAGATCGGCCTCCCAACGTGTCAAAACAGCACTGAGTCCAGGACGATTCTCTTACAAATGCCTCATCTGCCTACTCTGGCACAGGAACAAAGCAACAAAGCAGAGGCATCACTGTGGGAATTCCTACATTTGTCACCCTCAGTTCTGGTCATTGTTTGTTTCATCCCAGGTGATCCCATGGAGTCACCAACTATGCCATCAAAAAGCTATGCACCCCTTTGGCCACGGCACAACTGTTGATACCACTCAAAGTCCACATGTCAAATGACTTTGAATAACCCAAAACCTATCAGAACTTGGTGGCTGTCTCAAAAGACAGCACCCAGAATAGTTTGCTATTCTAAATTACAAAATCTCAGGAAATCAAATATTAAAGTTCCTGCCGGTATGTTTGGAGGGAGCTGTTTTATGCATGACTTCATACCTTCAATAGACTATCAGAGAGCTGAGTTTGTGTCCCAAATGTTAAGAATTATTTCATAATCATTATTAGCCAGTGCTGTCATTATGAGCCTGCTTGCTTCAGCCCCCGAGTAACAGAGTCCACTGCTCTATCGCGCTGTTATAATCAGCCTTATTACAGAAACATAAAATTGTAACCTTCTAAGGCTGCCCGAGCTAGTGCTGTAAGAACTGGGAATAAATTGAAGTAATCTTTAGGCCAGCAGCAGTTGCACTGGGAAAATATAACCATTTTTATGCATGTAATGTACATGCTGCCTCCCCACCCTTTTCATGCTCTTCTCAACAGGACAAAAGCTATCCTCAGACCCCTTTTGCAGTCAAATTAGCTCATCAAAGCAGAACAAGTTTATAACATAGTGTTCGTTGCATATCAAGTGTCCACACACTGCTTTGATTTCCATACTTGCGACTGCAGTTGCTATGTTCTGAGTATTTCATTTCAAGGGGGAAAGCTATTAGGTGTTTCCCCCCAAAGTAGGTGATTATTCGATGGCTGAAGATGTCAAAGATAATGAAATTAAAAAAAAAAAAAATGGGTCTAGGCTGTGATGGTCTCTAGCAGGAAAATGCATCTCATTAGATGGTATTCCCACCAGAGAGGCCTATGGTATTACACGCATGAGTTCCTTTTTGCTGTTGTTAGCTGAGTTTGGGAAGAGCACAGCAAGCAGCCTCAGCGACAGTGCACAAGGATGTACAAACTGCAATTAAGCCTGGGCTCCCTGATCGGAGCCTCGCTGAGGTCCCAAGTCAAAGGGCCCAACTGGCTTCCAGTGCTTCAGGAGCACATTGTGCTACACAGGCAGAAGCATTCACAGTACAAATATCTCCTTGTAATAGTGTGCAGGACTCAAAGGGCTCAGGTCCGTGCTTGGCAATAGGGCTCAACCCCCCCTTTGGTGTTCGGTGATCAGGACAAACTGAGCAGGCTGTGGGTGATCCAAGGATCTCTTAATTCAGTTTTCTGGCAATTCTGGAAGGAAGGGGAAAATTGGTCCCACTATACAAAACATTTACATGTGGAATTTCTATATTCAAGGCTGTTTGTGAGAGTGCAGTTTTGAAAAGGTGGTGGTCCTTTCAGTGGCATGTTAGAAGTTTGTTGGTACTTTGGCATCAGCAACAAAGATCACATGCATTGACACGGGATGCAGGCACCTCTTTTTTCTCCTTTTCCCCATTATCTTGGCATGAATTTAAGAGCATTTTGGCCAGGCTTTGCGTTTTGAGGCAGAAAAAGAGGATGTGCTGGTATGAAATACAGTGGTGGTCATTAGAAGATCAGTGCATTACCAGTGATTCCTGCAGCACCGCAACACTTCCTCGCACTTAGAAGAAGCAAAACAATTTCTCACCAGAGAGCACTGTGTGGGAAATGTGGCCAAATGTTGGTCTGCTGGTAAGGATAGGGAGTGGGGCTGGCTGTGAGTTTAAGGGTTGTGCTGAGATACATTATGGAGAGTATGGGCAAGGAGGCTGTGAGGCACTGAAGCACATAATAATTGTCTTTTGACTGACAACTTGCTATAACCATGGTGCAGCACTTGTGCCCATCATTACAAGCACTGGGACATTTTCTACAGTGGCAAAATCCCTTCTTCTGTGCAGTGCAGTATCAGAGCAAGCAGGACTTCTCCCTGTGGTGTATCTGTCTAGCAAAAGGAGGTGAACTACAGGAGGGTTAAGGGAGTCGTATAAGTTGAATGAGTCTATAGCTTTATGATACTCATATGAAAATAAAATGGGGCTGGATTGTTATTAGAAGTAAATCCTGTGGACATGATACAATGCGTATCAGCTGAGGTGCTGGTCCTTTTGTTTATCACATACCAGACGTGCTATATGATAAAAGTCAAATCGCAGCGATTGTTATTTACTCACCCACTTCTCATATCATGCAGACAAACTGTTGCTTCTCATCCTTCATATCCTTACGACAATATTGCTGAGAGATTGATAGAGCATCACAAGGTCCCACAGCTTTGCAAGCAGACAGACTTCTGCTCCTTCCTTCCTCTGAACGTGACACTGACTGGCAGTCCTTGTGCCCCTGCAGGTCTGATTGTCCGAGAAGTAAGCATTGAGATTTCCCGCCAGCAAGTGGAGGAGCTCTTCGGGCCAGAAGACTACTGGTGCCAGTGCGTCGCCTGGAGCTCTGCCGGCACCACCAAGAGCCGGAAAGCCTACGTCCGCATCGCCTGTGAGTGTCAAGACGGGGGGGTGTGGGTGAGGGAAAGCGGAGCCTCCACCATTTGGGAGAGAGATTTTGGTTCCCACCTACTGCGTTTTGCATTTTCTGCAGTTTTTCATGTGTACTAACATTCAGACCTTCGTAAGCATGCATAAAAAAAATCAGTTAGCCTGCTCTTAAGAGCAATGAAGTCTTCAAAGCCAGGCTGGATGAGGCTTTCAGCAACCAGATCTAGCGGGAAGTGTCCCTGCCCATGGCAGGGGGGTTGGAGCAGACGATCTCTAAGGTTCCCTTCCAACCCAGACCATTCCATTGTTCTGCTTTTCTGAAATCTCATTTTTCTCCTTTGTGTGTGGGGAAAGCAGCAACCTGTGTTTCCTATGAACAGCAATTACCTGTCTCAAGAAAAGTGGCTGAAGCAAATGGATAGGAATATTGTCAAAACAAGCTCTGAAATAAGGTGTCTAATGTTCTTTCGTAGCTCTGCCATCACATAATAATGCTGCTGTTGCTCAACAAAGAAAAAAATATGTATTTAGCATATCACATAACCAGGTTGGTAAGATTGCAAGCAGTCATCTCAGACCTAATATTTCATTATTGTTATTCATGGTTACTAACCTCCATAGTTATTATGAGCCACTCCCAGTTTTAACTCCAAGAACACAGGGCAGCTAGTTCACTGAAACCAGATCTTCATTTGACTGTACAAATATTTAATGTTCATTAATTTTCAAAGAGGTGCTTTTCTTTGTAATAGAGTAGTCACGCTGGGGACTCCTGTTTCTCTTTCACATGATGAAATCCTGTTTTGTAAAATGTGAACAAAATATTTCATCTGGAATTGTATCTCTTCATCCATTTTCACCTCAGCAAAAACACATTTTATAACAAAAGGTCATTAGAAGCTGGGTTTGCAGTACACTTACATTTCCTGCACTGGTCCTAAGAATTTATAATGAAAACAGAGAAGTCTTCCAGCTGAATAAAGCATTTCACAGACACATTAGAGGGAAGACTGTAGGATAACTCTTGTTTAAAAGTCTCCATTTAGAACTTTATTCTCCTTTTGTTCTTGTGAAAGTCCTCCAAGAGTAGTTACCTCCGTGTAAATATCCAGACACACATCAAGAAGGTTAAATTTAAATACACATTTTTAAATGTGTACTCCAAGTAACTGAGTGGAAATAAAAGACCTGTACCTTTGAGTACAGGACTAGCCTCAGAGAGGAATTTCTCCAAGGTTAAAGGAAATTAAAAGTATTGTACATGTTCATCTCGCAAAATTAGAAATGCCATTACATATGTGCATAGTGTTTTCCCATGCCAGGGAACCTTTCAAGACTTTGGGCATTTGATTTTTCTATTTTTCTGTAGTGAAACAAAAGAGCAATTCCTTTTTTTTTTTTTTTTCCTTCCAAGCAGTCAGCACTTCAGGGAGGCTTAGTGATGTTGGAACAGTTTTTTTTAGATTCTGAGCCCTATGTTAACTCATTAAGTCGATTTTCATGTCCTGCCAGTTAGCCTATGACAGATGACCATTGAATTAATGCAGTTTACAAGTCAAAGTGTATTTCACTTGATGGCTAAGTAACTTCCATACCTATGCACTTCGTTTTTATATATAGCACATAATTATTGTATGCACATGGAAGCTGTTTTATATCAATTGACATTTCTTCCCAGGTGTCCAAATTTCTATTGAAGATGCTCATAATATAGAATTTGCTTTTTTTTCTTACCAAAACGTGGAGATAGGTGAACAATCAGTTTAGTGATTTTTGCAGTGTCCTGGGGTTTCTTTTAGAACAGTCTAATTAAAGAAATTCCAGGGAGTGTTATGTGCTTGTCACTCAAACGCAGCAAAAACAGCTTTGTATTTTAGTGGAGATTTTTTCTTTTGTTCCTGAGTTTGGGATTCTTGGTCAGCTTTGACTAGGCAAGTCACTTTCACTCCTTGGGATTTGGAGTTGAAGTGTCAGGCTGTCAATCTACAGGCTTTTGAACAGCTGCAGAGGCACCTTTTCTGCAAAACTACCTATTTCTAATTTCACAGATTTCTATAAATTTATCAGGTAACTTGGGACTATTCTTTTAGGAACACAGACATAGGATCAGGAATATATACCTCCCTTGTGTGATGTCATTTTGTCTGCAAGATCACTGTTTTAAACTGTGGGCTCAGGTATACTGGTATTTATCAATACTCACAGCCTTGATTCCAAAGGACTGAATATGGACTGTCAATATAATTGTTGTTCCCTACCTGAACTTCAAGCACAGCTGAAAAGTCTGCTGACAGTTACACAGTGTTCCATGAGACAGGGAGGTAAGGTAGGGTTCATGCAGTATTTATGAATCTGGTCCAAGATTTAGGAGAGGCAGAAGAGTCCAGCTCTCCAGCTCTGCCTGCTTCTGTAGTTGCATGCTTATGTCCCCAATGCAGTCTTCACTTTTAATTCATATAAAAAGCAAGCACTGATACCTTTGGCAAAGGTAAAGAGTGAATGGAGCATGTAAAGTGCTCTATTTAATTTATTAATTAAATAAATATTATTTATTTATTATTTATTTTATTGTTTAATTTATTGTGTATTTTAATACCTGAACATAGTGATTTCACCTCAGCATGTAGAACTGTAGCGTAACGAGCCATTCCTATCACATTAAGAAAAAAAATCTTTTCTTCTTCTTCCTTTCCCTTTCTCTCTCTTCCTTCTCCATCTCCTCTTTCTGTCTTTTCTCCCTTATGACCACTGGTCTTATTCAGGAATTGCTGTGTCGTCTCAAGGACTGGAGCAGCACTCCATTAAAACAAACAAAAAATAATAGCATTCAACATCTCTGTTCACTGAGCGTGTAATAGAATTAACTGAAAAGTAATTTGAAAGTGTGAAAAATGTGCATCCTGGAAAAGTGGCTTGTATTTGTTTAATGCAGGGTCAGGCATGTGTCAGAAAGTACATAACAACCTAGTCAATGAAAGTTCTCTATGAAAATCAATTGCAACATCGCTCTAGCCAAGTAAAGAGCCTCGGTTATTCAGGAAGGGAGTAATCTATAAATATGGAGTGAAGATTCTGCTGCATTTCAAAGGCTGCACATGCTAGCCATACAAATAAGAAGAGTCTGATTCAAGCCAACAACCTGGCTCCCCAAAGTGTTTGGGGCATTTAATGGCATCTCACCACAGCACTCCTGGCCCTCCTGTATGCTCCCTTCTGGGCAGGCTGTCTCTGAAAAGAAGCAGCAAGACAGGTGATAGAAACATCATTATTTTCAGCTTCTTTCATATGCCGTGGAATTCATCTTCCTGAGACGCTGGTCTCCCCATGAGAGTGGAGCTGAGCATTTTGTCCTCTTGAATTAGCAGATTCGCTGGGATTAATTTTCACTCTGCCATTCTTGATAGCTCCCTAACCAACAAAAGCGGGGACTCCTTATGTACATCTTGGTGGAGCTGGAAAAATATAAGATTGTTGTCTGAGATATTGGCCTATGAAAGTGCTAAAATGCATTTCCTACTTGTTCATATGTTTCTTCTTTATTCTAAGCACATGTAATCAGGCGCATTGGAGTCACTAATAGGTTTTGATACAGTTCTTCTACTCAATTTAAACAAATGGACAGAGGAAGGATGAAGTTTGGGTAGCTTTCTCTTTGGCTAAAAAAAAAAATCTAGCCCAATATAAAGTTTTAATGTGAATTTTATGTAACAAGGCTGATGTCATTTAACAGGTAAAACCTAACAGGGCACAGTTCCTGTTTTAAGGATGAATGATGCCTGAGCATGTTTGAGCAAGAGCAGAGTTAAACCCACTAGAAAATACATCTGATAAAGACTAAACAATAGCCTCAGGATTTGACCTAATTTTTAGATCAGATAATAACAGGGTGGCTAAGACAAATTGCTTTGAGCCCTTGTGCGCAAAGCAGCCTTACTTTTCATTTGCTCCAGTTTTGTGTTGGTGTAGCCTCACTGACTTCATGACGTTAACCAAGGCTGTCCTTGAGAAAATACAGTGAGAATATAAGCCCTAAATCTGCTGTCAGGTTTTGGATTTGTTGAAAACAAGTAAGAAAATAACAGCTTTTTCTGTAACTTCTGTTGAATGATCTTTTTTTGGTGTAATGAATCTGGAGAGTCTCTTCTTTTCTCTTAGTCATTATCCTAAAATCAAAGCTTGAAAAAAGGAAGGAAGGAAGGAAGGAAGGAAGAAAGGAAGGAAGGAAGGAAGGAAGGAAGGAAGGAAGGAAGGAAGGAACTTAATTTTCACTTAAAGTGAAATATCATTTTAAAAACCCCTGATGTAGTAAAGAACTGCAGTAGTTAATCTTTTGTATAATTTCATATTAGTTTTCTGTCTACTTATCTAGAAGCCTTTTTTTCCCCAGACACTTTTTCAAAGGAATGTAGCTAATATATGCATGTCAGATGCTGTATACTGATAGGATAAATGTGGTACAGAAAAGTAGACTAGTTTAGATGATGGTCTATCTCCACTTACAAGGGGTATGCAGTCATACAAAGAAACAGATATAAAAAATAAATAAAATAAAATAATAAAATAAAAATCACAGATTCATTACTGACTGCCAATTATCGCCCCTTTTAGTATTGCGGCTGTAGTGCCTTTCTTCCCCCTGCCTTCACACTAAGGCAACATTATGAGCATGTGCTCCTGTAGCCACCAAGGGATTTTGTTGGCTACACCAAAACATGCATTTTGTAGCCACCAATGCATATTGCAATAGATATAAATTTGGTGCACAGCAGGATAAAGAGGGAGAGCTGGGAAGGATAACACTTGAAAGTTTTAATAGGAAGGCATGTCCAGGATGTGCCCTATTAAAAGCAACAACGAGAGAATGCTTTGTGCATTTTGATAAGAGATAGGACCTTAATTTCTTCTCTGTGCACCATTTCAGTTACTCCTAATCAATATCTGCTTCGTGTAGTTAATGAGGGGATAACTGCATTGCGTGGTCTGGCGCTGAGACTGCTGAAG